AAAAAAAAAAAAATTTTCGTAAATGAAATAAATCTGAAAATTATTTTTTTAAAAATGATAAAGTGAACTGAAAGTATATTTATCATTTACAAAACTAGCTAAAACCAGAACTGTAGCGTAAATCTGGGTAAATTTAGATTTATTCTGATTTATTTCGGTATTGCTTGACATCCGTAGCTACATAAGGAAAGGTCAGTTGTTTGAGATCTGTACTTCAACTTTACTACCGGAGAAAACCCCACGCCAGCACGGGGAAAACAATTTGGAGGATCATTTGACGTCAACCACAAATTGCTTTCAACCTCTCTCATAGTTTGGGAAGCCATTCTATCGAAAAGCACGAGACGTTACGCCGCTTTATCTTGTTTGCTTGTCATCACGGTATCCCAGTTGCATGCCTAATTAAGTGCATCCTTTAATTGGCCCACATGTTTGCATATATGTGCGTTGACAAAAAAAATAAAAAATAAAATAAATCTCTACAGGGACAATAAGTCCTTGAAATATTAGCTTGTAAACAAAGTGGCGGGAAAACCTAATTAATTCTCATTGGCTGTTTCTCAAGGCACCGTTCGGGGATGTTGATGAAACGGGTTTGCCAAACATTCTCATCTTGTTTATTTTTTTAAAAATACAAAAACAAACAATTTTAAAAAAGGGCATTCCTTAGCGGTGTAGACGTTGTGTATTTCATTACATGTGCATCTATGTTTGCGTTTTAATGGCCGCTGATTAAATGACAATTGGACTTGCGAGTCGTCATCCAATTTATTGGCTTAAAAGTGATTCGGGAGCAATCGGCTGTAAAGTAATTAAAAATAGTGAGTGTGTGTAATAAATGGGAAATCTGGAACAGCTGTCGGGAGATGACAATTCCACGGCGAGAATGCGAATGGGAGGAAAACACGTCCCCGGCGCAACAGTAATTAGTGTTAGCGGCGACAGGAAGACGAGGCCTCCTGCTGGCCAATAATGGAGACGTACTATTAATAATCATAGCTGGTGCATCTGCTGGGCCGAGTAACCGATTAGCCAAGTCATTGAATTGTTCATGGGAGGATTGAGTAATCGTGTGGAAATAACTGAGACAAAAAATGAATGACGTATCAGCGAACATTTCAGGTGCCGTTGATTTAGTCTCAACTAGTTTACACTACGCATGATGGCAGTTCGACTCCCCTCAAACGTCAACGTGCGGTACATTTTTAGCTTATGTCGTCAAATTGGGTTTACAGTTACGGTAGTCACTGATTTTTCGTGGTTAACGTCACACTATTTTGTTATTTTTTTTATTTTTTTGTTGAACGTAAAGTCCTCTTCGATCCTGCTTTTTATGCCTACAGCAAAAGCTATAAAACCCATTCCAACTGGCTCCCCAACCGCAGTCCTGGGCGGGACCGTCTTTTCTGAGAACCACCCAGCACAAAATCATAGTGTGAAAAAGTTGGAGGCCAAAATATCAAACAATCACGTGAAAATCAGTCAGTACTGCAGCAACTGGGCGACACGCAAATGCTACACAGGAAGGGTAAAGCCGAGATCGGAACCTCGATCCTCGTAACTGTGACTGACAAACCGCTAGGCCAGCTGCCTCTGTCAATATCGACAATGTGTGATTCAGAACCAGGATTAAGAGGCTTGATTTTAGAATGAAGAAAATGGATTTCTTCCAGCGTAACGTGCAAATAAGCGATCGAACATCTCGTGAGCCCCGATTGCCCCTTCATGATATTTGCCTGCGGGATCATTACAAATAATGGAGTGGCTGAAATCGCTTTTGGTCTTTGTGGGCGGGAAACTTAAAGCTAACCAACCCTTAAAAGTTGGCTCACACCAAAAAAAAAAAAAAAAAAAAAAACGCGACGGACTCACTTGACCTTCATGCGGCGGCCCCACCGCTTAATAAAGAAATCCATCAAGCCTCCGCCCAAGCGCGGTGGTTTAATGTAATGTTGGGCCGTAGCTTGCGTTGCTCGACGCCACACTCATATTTGTCTCAGGGAATTAAGCGACTAAAATGCAAAGAGCGGCGGCGCGGGAAGAGCCATCGACGTAACGATGATGGACGACCCTGACAATCTTCTGGAGCATCTTCAGTGTGCTCGCTACTTTCAGTCAAGTCTCGTCTGGCTCCCCCACTTTCGATACCGATTTTATTGAGCGATATTTTCTCTCCAGACACGCACCAGCTATCCTTGAACAAAAGATTCTTTTCTTGCTTTGCATCATTTTATCCAGAATTTTCTCTCACTTTTTTGGGTGGGGGGGGGGGGTATAAAGCAACTTCAGCCCCAATCGTGGTGTCGGCAAGCTAGGAAGAAGCCATGAAATATGCATGCGCCGCGAGAACCCAGCGACAACGCGGCAGCTTGTAAGCCGCTGTTCTCGGATCAGTAATCCAACAAGTTCACATGCGGCTCCTCGGGGTCCTTCATGAAAGCGTCAGCGCCGTGTCGGGAGTTTGGCCGGCGTCTTCCCGGCAGCCTCTTAATTGTCTCGCGAGTTTCGCTATCATCACTGACGACTTAGCGGTGACCCCGTTTGAGATCACAAATATCAAAACTAGCTCTCAATAATGGGTTTTTAGGGGGGCTTTTTTTCCCCCAACGTTTTTAGGAAGCCATTTAATCATCTCAAGGATAGACCGCTTCGTGTTATGCGGTGGGCGGCGCTGAGGGAGCTCAGAGCGTCTTATAATTTGGTACTTATCAATTTGATCTCGCCACAGATAAACTTGTGTGTCCTTGAACAACACCGATGAACCTCTGAAAACACCTTAAGTTCTGTGAGGGAAAAAACCTGTAATTGATATCATAAAAGCATGAAATTGCTCCAGGGTTTTTTTTTTTAACCGTGGTGATTATGAAACCAGAATTTGTTTTCTTATTAATCTTAAATGTATTTGTTTTTAAAAAAGAACTCCCAAACGAATGAAAAGCAAATTTGATCAGCTCTCATTGAATTACAAATGTACCTGTAGTGTGTGTGTGTGTGTGTGTGTGTGTGTGTGTGTGTGTGTGTGTGTGTGTGTGTGTATATATATAATGTGTATATATATGAAAATAGGGAATTGGAATATGGTTAGTTGTTTTTGTAATTTAATATATCTTTCAGATTTCTTTATAAAAATCTTCACATCCCCTTACATAAAAAAAACAGAACAAAGAAAGAAATGTTTTAAAATTTTCTCCAATATAAAAATCAATCAAAAATAATTAATTGCATATAGAAAGAAATATGCAATGCAAAAATGCAATTTTGCTGTTGGAAATATGGAATCATGATCGAATGGGAAATGCAATCTGAATAATCGATCGTGTTTTGTTGGCTTTCATCCCACCCCTGTTGCTGATTCAGTCGAAAATAACTCTGGAAAAAGTACATTGGGCAGTCAAATTGTAATCGCATCACGAAATTGGACACACACTCAAACTAGTTGCCGTTTTTAAAGGCAGCAGAGAGAGAAGCATAATTGCTTATAAAGCGTTATTGGACACCGCTTCTTGTGCTAAATCCCTTCTCGGTACACTTTTTAATGCAAACGCCACTTGGGGGAAGTGGGGAGAAGTCAAATCCTATTCACAGGTTTAAGTGAAGATAACAAAAGGCTTTAGTTGGTGGAATTAGAACATTCCAACCGAATCATTTTCAGCATTTTTTTTTTTTTCATTTAAAGGCGCAAAAACGCCGGCTGGAGACGCCGTCTTGTCGCCGAGCGCCAACAACGGGGACCGGCAACAAAAGCCGCTAAATGACTGAAACATTGAGAAACGGCCAACTCAAATGAGATCGGCGAAGCCTCATATTGGCTTCCGCTGAACTTTAGAAAGCGTTTGGAATGAACACTCCGGATTCCGGCTCATAATAAGCGACGGGAGGAAGAGTATGAAAGCCAATCAGGGAGGAAACTCTGGAGCCACATTTTGTACTTTTGAGGTCCAATAAGAGTTAATGTGATGTTTTTCAACTCTTTCGCTGTTTTGTTTTGGGGTTTTTTTTCGGTCACCTCAGTGAACTTTTTCGCCTTGACGTGTTGTGGCAGCGGCGGCCATGTTGGCACGCCTGTCACAGGATCCTGCACCGGGTCATTTGGTCATTTGAATTTAATCAGAACTCCTCGGAGCATGCATGGCGAGGGCGTTGAATAATCCCGAAACAAGAAGAGTGTAAATATTTCCCGCCCGCCCGCCAAGATGGATACGGTGCAAAAGTCGGCTGTGAAACGTCGAAGGCATCCATCAAGAGTCTTTAAAGTTGGCATTTAACCCTGACAGGGACAGCGGTTGCTACAGTGGACAGCTTATCATGTTATCAGGTTACAGGGTGCATGAAAGGGTTAATGCTCCATCCCCACCCCCCCCCCCCCCCCCGTTTCCCCACGCCGCGCTGTCACAGCTGCGTGTGCAATCACAGATCACATGATGGACAAATTAGCTTTGCTGGAATCTGGGCCTGACTCTCCGCAGCCCTTTCACACCCTCTATCTCGCGCCACAGTGGAGGATTTCAAAGAGTGGAAGAAAAACAAGGAGGAAAAAAAAAGGGAGTGTGGGATGTAGCCGGATGACAAATACAGCGCAATTCTAATCAGGGTTACTGCGAGGTTTACGATTTATGTCCCGACACGTCAGCGGCGCACCCACCCGCCGCACTTTTTCTGCGACTCTACAAATCCCGAACTTAATTACAACAAAGGCTGAGCCATGGAAATGAACTCATTTAGCAAGACATTGCCACATATCGGCCCCCTCCCCACGCTCACCCCACCCCCAAGTCTTTTTTTTATTTCCTTTTTGGCTGGCGTCTAATTAAATTCATTTCTCTGTCACCATTTTCAAACATTCCCCTAAAACTTTATTATTTATTTTTGTGTGTGTGTGAACTGTAACTTTGTTAAGCTGATTGCTTCTTGTTTTTCCGGCTGAGGCGACAAATCAACTGAGAAATGCCTGCTGAAAAGAGCAGTGAGAGGGAGTCCTCACTGGAAAAACCCAAAAGAAATCAAGCTGCCCATTCTTTTATTGAAAGTGTCACACGACATGCCATGCGGCATCCTCCGTTTTCTAATTCCAACACTTGTATAGACGATTGATCCGGAGAACATCCGATTCGGACAGGCCCTCCCGTTGGCCGATTTCAACCGAGCCGTCAGGGATGGGGGTCATGGTAACGGCCTCTTGGATTCCAAAGGCGGTCCTACGGATTTTGCGAGACAAATGTGTCATCACAAACACTGAGGCTCGGGTTGGACACTCACACGTGTGCTGCTCATCAGAAAAAGATGATGATATTAATTGTTCACAGTTACTTAGAACATATTTCCCAGTCTTAAGGAAGCTTGTTGTCAGGCTACAATGAAATATTCTGGAGCAAAAGTTCGCCGTCCAGTGCCAGAAAGCTTGGTCTTGGTTTTCTTCTGTGGCTGCTTTGCTACATCAGGCACTGGGTGTCATGCACCGGTGCAGGATACAATGAAAACTCAAGAGCAAAACGTGTTCCCCGCTGTGATAAAACTTGATCTGCGGCTGCTTTGCTGCAAAGGGGTGTCTGCAATACGTATCATCGTTGGTCGAGTGCATTTCCGTCTTACCTTCCGTAGTGCATTATGGAGTTGTAGTCGTAGGGGGTGTCGAGATTATCCGTGTCCTGCTTTTCAAAGTTGGGCTTGTTGACTGAGGACATGCAACGAGCGTTACTTAACGACATAAGAGCTCAAGTAAAGGCACGACTTCACAAAATAAAAGTTGGACGGAGACACTTTACCGTCCTGAATGTTCTCCCAGTGGATGAGGATGTGTTCATCACGGTCGCTGCGCGTGTGCTCGTGGTAGAAGCCCAGGGCGTGCAGCACCTCGTGCTGAACGATGCCGTGCTGGACGCAGCCGAAACGCTGCAGCGACACCAACTGCCTGCCTCCCATCCGGCCCAGCCTTGAGAAACACCTGGATGGGTTCACACAAAATTGGTTTTGCAGTTTTGCTAACTTCTCAACATGTCGTGATTGTTTGATTTTTTTAGCACTAGCTTGTCCGCTAAAAGTGCAGATCAGTTTGCACTCACCCAAACCTGGGCTCAAAGTTGAGGTAAGCCTTCTGGGTCCCTCGCCGGATGAAGCGGATGCAGGTTCCGGCCTCAATTCCCCTCAGGGCGCCTTCAATGGTATCCCTCTCTGAAATGGCTGCGAAAGGCAAAATGGCCCGTAATTCATGTCAACAATCTCGATTGAATGCGACCCGGGTACGAAAACAAAATTACAGTATTGGTTTGCGATGATGTAGGGGATCAGGACTTGGCCGTTGCCAGACTTTGGCCACAGGCAGGACTGTGCGTTCACCGCGCACTTGATGGCGGTCCTCGTTCTCTGAATCATCAAGTCTCCCTCCATCAGGGGTGCCGTCGATCCTAAAAGAAAGAAAAGAATCCATCTGCATCCAGAAACCTCGTCACGGCTGCCATTTTTTTTTCCCTTCCAATCCTCACCATTGTTCATCTTCAGGATCGTCTCAGTCATGCTTGACTTGTCCGGGTCCTCTGAGTTGTCTGATGAGAAAGCAGATGACAATTCAGCGGCAGCGACGATACCGATTGATTTTGATTGTTAGGTCGGTCGCACGCAGACCGCTCTCACATGCCGGTCACATACCGTTATCGACAGCCGGGTCCTGCGAAGAGAGCGGAAGAGATGATACACTTTAGACGGCATGAAAATGTGCTGTAGGGTTCTCCGGTGGCTTTGGTTTGAAGTCCATAAATTGTGTGCGGTGTCCTTTTAGGTCTGTTTTTGTTTGCCGGTACTCACCCAGCCAGGTCCCGCATAGCAGAAGGTGCCGAGCTGCAGCAAAAGAAGGAACACCGTGGTTCTGAAATCCATTGCGTGTGTCGAGACGGCTTCTCGTTCGGGGAGTCGTTGATGCTGATGATCGGTCCGGAGCAAGTTTATGTACAGGCGCTCAAGGGCGTGTTTGGACGTGAGCAGTCGCGGAGTCCTAAACAATCGGGAGTGCCGCGCACACCTCGGACAAACATTGACACAGTGGGGGGACAAGCTTGTCATCTGTCCACAGGCGGCTGCCAAGCTGCTCAGCATCGCGTTTCAGACATGGCGAAGAACCCGTTGCCAAGTTTGACCACCCATGTGACAAACGCGGCGTAGCAAACAAAGCATCGTGTGCTTATCTTTGCCGTCTGAGCTGTGCACAGCGGGATAAATCTCTTGCTTGTTGATGAATGGCAACAAGAAATACCATCAAGAAATGAAAAAGCCTTTCAATGAAAAATACACACACAAAATAATCAGACAGTTAGCATTTGCAGCTCTGAGTGCAGCCCTAATTTTTGTCGTAATGGAAAGCGATGCGGGGATGCCGCATCGCTGATCGCTCCATTAGCCGCGGACACTTTTACAATCGTGGCTTTTGTGCTCGTTCCTCTGAGCCATGAAGAGTGAGCTGCGGCTGCGGAATTATTCAAGCCGTCTGCGGTCGATCTTCACTCGCGAAAGCGGCGGCAGAGGGTTGAGATGTTCGCTTACAAATCAGATGTCATTGTTGCGTCCCGAAGCGAGTGGCGAGGGGTGGGGGGGGGAGAAATACCATCAAGAAATGAAAAAGCCTTTCAATGAAAAATACACACACAAAATAATCAGACAGTTAGCATTTGCAGCTCTGAGTGCAGCCCTAATTTTTGTCGTAATGGAAAGCGATGCGGGGATGCCGCATCGCTGATCGCTCCATTAGCCGCGGACACTTTTACAATCGTGGCTTTTGTGCTCGTTCCTCTGAGCCATGAAGAGTGAGCTGCGGCTGCGGAATTATTCAAGCCGTCTGCGGTCGATCTTCACTCGCGAAAGCGGCGGCAGAGGGTTGAGATGTTCGCTTACAAATCAGATGTCATTGTTGCGTCCCGAAGCGAGTGGCGAGGGGTGGGGGGGGTGGTGGGGGGGCATGGCTTTGTTTAAGGAGACGCTTTTGTGACTCCCATCGCGGTGTTGACCGGAGGAGAGAGGGACGCCGTCCCGCTGCCTGTAAAACTCTTTCAGGATCAGATTTCACACGGCAAGGTCGGCGGCTTTCCGACCGGGATCCCGTCGCGGCGGCCTTTTAAGAGACGTCGTACGTCATCATAATGTGTCATTTATGATCACGGGTGTGTGTGTGTGTGTGTGTGTGTGTGTGTGTGTGTGTGTGTGTGTGTGTGTGTGTGTGTGTGTGTGTGTGTGTAGTGCTAGGTGAGGCCCAGATGGAGTGCCAACAAGAGCTTGACGAGTGGTCACTTTGACAGTATTTGATCAAGCCCTTTTGCACATGCATGGCTGATCCGTGTGTGTGCATGTGTGTGTGCGTGTGTGTGTGTGTGACATATTTATCATTTGCGCTCGCAGAGTTAATAATGTTCATTGATGCACGAGCCATCCATCCGCTTTTACGAGCTTCACGGTCGCCCGGGCATCACGTCCAACGGCAGCGTCTCATTTTTTACGCCCCGCCGTGGTTTCCCTTGCGTCTTTTCGAACGGCGAGCGCGCCAGGAGTTTCTCGAGTGTTGATGAAAGTATGCGTGAATCAGCAGGGCGGGTTCATCACAGCGCGGTTACTCCCGTCGCAGCGGGTAATTGGAAGCGATTGGACGCGTTTCGCCGTGACGCAGCTCCATGTTCGGTTGGAAGCCGGACAGCAGTTGCCATGTGGTGAAGTGCATTCGGTGTCTAAACTTTGCAATTTCTCGTGTTTCTTACAAGGAGGAAAGGGAAATGTTTCCCCGGCGTCCGAGTGCTCCTTTTCATTGAACCCGGCGTCCTCCTTGTTTGGTGCCACCATAATTGCAGGTTCTCCGCGGTCAGAGGGCCAAAGTCGTTGCCGCTCTTCTTTGTTGTTGTTGATGTTGTGGATGGTGGCGTCGCATTATCGGGGGTTTTTTTTTTTCACCTGATGTTGTCATGGCAACTGCAGGAAAATTGTCTCGACATTGTGGAGTCCACATAAATGATCCCAGGCTTTTTTTTTTCTTTCGGTTTTAGATCTGTCCATCCATCCATCCATCCATCATGTTTTGTCTGTTTCCTTATCCTTGGTGAAGCAGCATGTGACTCAGTTTAACCCTTTCAGGGACAGCGGTCACAACAGTGGACAGGTTATCATGTTATCAGGTTACAAGTTATTATTGTTGATGCATGAAAGGGTTAAGATTTATTTATTTATTTATTTATTTATTTTTTAAACAGTCTACGCCGTACTCATGCAAGGTTACGAAATGCATTGATGTCAACAATGTTTGATGTCTTTGCTCGTCTAAAGTTGGCCGAAACACGTTTTTAGACGGAAAAATGTTGACGATGTCGAGCGCCAGTGCTCTTGAAATCTGATTGGACGAAGAAGCAACCCCACGAGTTCACGTTAAACTGGCCAACTGATTCTGAAGGTCCTGGGGAGATTAGATGGACATGGCAGGACATTGGAGCTGAAATCTGATCAAAAGAAATAATAATAATAAAAATAATAAATCCAACATTCACGTCCTGGAAGCAGTGACGCCAAAAAGCAATGATGCAATTTCATGGAACAAACGGAGATCCGTACGTGCGATAGCGTTTCGACCAGCAGAGGCGGCCTTGGTTGCCCCGAGAGCTCACCACAACCTGCTCCGCTAACAGCAATCAGACTGAGTCTTGCCACTGCACGGCGATCACATTGATGGACGAGGTGTCAGCGGCGCGATGGCGATGACGAGGTAAAATACGGCGAAAGGGCATGTGACGGAGAACAGGTTTAATTATCATCTCCTTTTTACTCCTCCGGGGGCTCGGTGTACTTTATGGATGGCGGGACCGGCGAGCTCTCGGATGCGGGCGATGATTGTTTGCCAGCTACGCGCCGCTGATGCATCAGCTGTACGTCGGGGGCTTTTATTGAACCTCTCTGACTCATCCGCATCCCACAGCTTGCTCTTCACATTTAAAAAGAGAGCACGCCAAAAGCCTCTTGCCAGGGCTAAAAAAACAAAACCGAAAAAACCCACTTGTGTCAACCCTCAAGTGATCGTGATTAGTTCGCTTGCAAACTTTCAAATTAAAACATTTACATTCGTTATTCATTTGTTGTCAACAATTGTCTGTTTGCGGTCACGAGGCGGCCTGTTTGCGGTCGGAACCGCCATGTTGGTCAGAAGACCTTGCATGCTCCAGGGAGTCTTTAAAATATGTCTTGGGTGATGCAGTATGTGGCTCAATATCCAGTGTTTTGTCAATCGTGAACAATTGCCTGCTTGTGCCCATGCGGGGACTCAGAAGACTTTGCGTATTGCACTCGTGTCTGTTCTGTGCAGTCTCTGGTGAAGCAGCATGTGCCTCTTTTATTGATTTCATATTTAGCGTATTTGACTGCTTGTCAGAGTGAGCCGGGCTCAACGACATGCGAGACTAAGTAACGTTTGTTGGTGTTTGTGTCGGTCTTCTCTTTGTTTGCCTCGCAGGCTAATGGGTGGTGTCACAATGCCGCCAAATGTGTCATATTGCGCAACGCCAGCGCGGCGCCAGCGCGGCTTCCTTTGCTAAGCGCTCAAAGAGATTAGAAATGGCGTGAAGGAAAACAGGAGGCGTTTTGTTGCCGTCCAAGTTTGCGCTGCCATTCGTGGATTGGCTTTGTAATCAAAATTATTATTGTTATGATTTTTTTTTTTTTAAATGTCAATTTGGTGTCAATTGGCAAAACTTAGATGGAAAAATTTCCAGGAATGCTGAGTGCCCCCACCTAAAAAAAAGGCAATTCATAAAAAAAAAAAAAAAAAAAAAAAGTACTTTGCACATTGATTCCCTTCACTTAAGAAGAAAATTCTCAAGTCTCCAAATATTTTTCGGAGAGATTTTTGGTTTCCCCAGCCAACTGCCCTTCATGTTCACTGAGCAAAGTGTTCAAAGCGTGAGCTGCAACCCCCCGCCCCCTTCCCCGGTCCCCCCACCTCGGCCCTATCAACTCACAACCGCCGCTTTGGATGCCATCCACGTTTGGACTTTATCCGTCCCCCGCAGATGTCTGATTAGTGTAGCGTAGGGGCGTAGGGGGTGGGGGGGGGGGTGTATGGAGAGGGGGGGGGGGGGGGGGGGGGGGGGGGGGTGTATGGAGCACCGCGGCATGGCAGCATGGAATGGTTTGGATGGTGAAACTAACAGCCGATGAGGTGACCATTGTCATGGAAATTCCGCTCGGGCGTTGTTGCATTTCAATATGTTTTTTTGCATGAAGCACCGTGCAACTCGGTCGTCACAAATTTTTTTTTTGAGGAGCTGCAAACGTGTTGTGGTCAAGGAGTGGCTCACGGTTCATTTTCTCAATGTGGCCACAAAGAGAAAAGAAAATTTGGGTGGGTCACCATTTTATTTCTTTTTTTTTTTGCATTCGGCATCATACATGATCACCACATCAATGCTGCCGACATAATTACACGTCACTCCAGTTCCTCGTGGGAGGAGCTGGTATGACAACAAAGGCGCGAGGACCCAGGAAGGCAACATTTGAGAAACGAGATGCGCCTGACGACTTTGGTGAACCAACGTGTGGCTCATTTAGCGAGGTTGTTTTTGTACTCCCTGTTGAGAGTAGCTGTCAATATTTGTCATCACAAAGGCAGCTCATGTTTATGTGAGCGCAGCTTTTCTTTTAGTCCGAAGACCTTGTTTGTTTGTTTTTTTTTGCCTTATGCCGGATATGGATATGGCTCATGGTGGTTTTTGTGCTCCCCGTACTGAGTAACTGTAAACACTTGTCTTGTTTAATTGCGAGTTGCCGGGTGTTTTCTCCTCTTCATCCTCCAGGATGAAAATGATAAAACAACTGTTGTTTCTCATTTTTGGTTATTTTGCTGCAGTCATCGTCTCGGGCCACATGCTGCATCGCCAACTCCAAAGACAAAGTCCTTGTTATCTGCTGACATGTGGCTGCCAGTTCGGGTACATTTCCATTCCCAGCTGTGTGGCGCCGCAATGAAGTTGTCCTCTAAAATACGACCCCACTCACGCCTCCACGGGGGCCGTCGCAGCAGAACTTTGGCAGCTTGGCAGTAGCAAAGTGTTTTTTGTTTTTTGTTTTTGTGTGCGTGTGCTAAAAATAGTACTGCCCTGCCCAACGGACGGTCCAAAAACTCTTCCGTTTAACCGCCGTTAAATCAAGTGGCCAGTTCGATACCCAATCAGAAGCCGCCGCTGTCTCGTGTTTGTGCAAGAGTGGTCGAAAAGCGCCGTCGTGCACTCGCCGTCCCGCGCGCCCTTATGAACGTCTGCATTCTCGGCCTGATGGATGATCCGCGCTGATAGCGCCCGGCCCGGATCCATACAGAGTCTCATTTACAATAACAGCGCCGAGGCAGAGGAGTGCAGGCGAGTGCATTACTGTGCGTGATCAATAGCGCCTGACAAGGCCTGATGTAATAATACGTATGCGCTGCTGGCAAGATGTTTAAACGCATGCATGAGGCCGTTCTCCATTAGCTAGAAGGCCTCGCGTGGTGACAACTGTGAGACAAACTATTCATTTTATGCGTCGCGCTCAAGTCAGATACTGAGAGCACCTCGCGCTCAATTACCGTAGGCCCGCCTTCTCGTCAAACGGCCCAAGGGCGTTTAGCCGCATATCGGAAAATGCAGAGGTTCCAGTTATGGCGGAGGGTGAACAGCGAGGTTCGTTTGACACTGTAGGTCACGGGTGTCAAAGTCAAGGGCCGGGGGCCAAATCTGGCCTGCCACGTCATTTTATGTGGCCCGCGAAAGCAAATCAAGCATGTCAACGTCCATGATACTCACCCAAAGTCGAAGCCGAAATTTCAAATTGTCATATGTAATAGATAATAACATAGGTAAATTGCAAGCATTTTTCTCCTGACCAAAGCCCTTATTCAATTAATGTCAACAATGTTTAACCCTTACACGGATGGCGGTTATCACAGTGGACAGCCAGGGTGCATGAAAGGGTTAAACAAGTCGTTATTCTTGACTTGTGATTTCAAAACTAGTTATCCATCAATTTGTTGTGCGCTCTGTCTGGAATATGTGGAGGTGATGAAACGTTTGAATGGTTTCGCATAATTTCGCAGTCACAGTAATGAATCCGAGACCACAATGTGGCCCGCGACAAAACTGAGTTCGACAGCCCTGCGGTAGTTGTTTCCTCAATAAGATTCGCGCCTTCGCTAGCACGACACAAAAGGTGTTGCACTCGGTCCACCAAAACGATGCGGATGGTCAAAGTACGAGCAATAGCGGGGATTTGGTTTTCTATATGACAAGCCAGTGGAGCCTTTATCTTAATTCAAGCAAATGACCTCACGAGAATCTCCTGCTGCTTCTCTGCTTGTTTTTTTCTTGTTGTGTGTACTTGTGTGTGCCGCTAAAGGGTTTTTGGTGTTCAAGGAAGTGAGTGGGAGTGACGCCACAACCCAAAATAGACACGATTATGTAAATGTGTCCGCATACAACCGAGTTAAACATGCATTTTCGCGTCTGTTTGTAACGATGCTGTTCAATGGCCGGCACTTTGATGGCAAAAATAACTTTTGTGCATCTTGTTATATTTTTTGTGCCTCACATTTTCGAGGTTGGCGGGTTGAGGTTAGGAGATTTGGAATCGTGGCGTAGGATCGGGGTTAGGAGGCGTTCGGGTGGTGCCAGAAGGTTTGGATTGGATGAGTCATGTTGAGGGGTTAGTGTTTCAGGTTTGTGTTATATAATTACTCTCGGTGTGCATCCCTCCACATAACACAATTCGATCTGGTATAGCTGTAACCTTTGTCATGTTTATTATTGTTGCTGGCGTCACTCCAAAAGCGATGGCACAATTTTGGTAAATGTCATATTTTTTTGTCCCGAATCAATGCTACTTTTGGACCGTATGCCAAAATAAGAGTCACATCATAAAGTGCCTACGCGTCGACGGCGGAGCTGACGCGCGATCGCAAACGCCACGTCTCAATATGGCAAATGCTATGAGTAATGAAACAAAGCCGTTTTTTTTTACGACACGTTGGGAAACGACGTATTCATGACAGCGATTTGTTTCACTGCTAGG